ACAAGATTTCCTTTTGTAAACGTACGCTTGGTAATTGTTCAAAATTCGCTTTTTCAGTTTTGGTATATAATTTGTTTTTCCAATCTTTTCATTTAATCGTTGAATGGGTTATATATATATTTACCTTCTTAATTTACAGGTGCAATATCTCACATCTTTTACAAATAAGAATTGATAGCAGGGCTCTACAAAATGATCAGCATTCATTGATTTTTTATGATATTTAGTTCCTATACAATGTATATATAGTTCGATTCTATCAACTCATGTAATTTGGACCTTGAAGCCATATTAATATTATTTTTATGAATATTTATCAAAGTAACAGTAAAATTTCTAGTTCATTTGCAAATTGATGTAAGCTTACTACAATGTGAACTAAATTTATACCGCAACTCATAAAGTTATTGATCATTATATATATTATATTCTAAATCATCTTGGACTCTGAATATCATTTTATTCACACTGCGTCAATAGCAAACTTCTCAAAAAGTCCTTTTATTTACACAACATGAGCGTAAAATTCTCATGATGATCATGACTTTAGATAGTGGTAAAGAAACTTTGATGCAATGAGAGTAATAACAAATGAGAATGTAAAAACCCATTGTTCAATGCACGACTGTTTGAATATGTATTTTTAGTTTCCTCAAACATCTCATAAGTTGATTAAAAATAGAAAAAGACATATCTCAAATGCCTGCATATGGGTTGATATATTTCAAAAGACTAATTTGCACTCCAGCGAGAAAAGAGAGAGAGAGAGAGATTAATTTCAAAGACAACAAGGAAACTACTAAGAAATGAACCAACTTTGCGTTTGCTTGATTGCCAAAGGTCCGCGTAGGTTTTGGACTCACAAAGGTCTTTCGTGGCGTGCGTGGGACTTAACTTAAAGTTTTTTTCTTAAATTTCGGTAGGGGACTTAAACTAAAAGCTATTTCTAATAGTTTACTTGTGAATTTTCTTTTTTTAATATTGGTTTATTTGTTATCTCATTTTTTGCTTTTTTTAAAAAAAAATTTATTATTTTGTACTTTGTTGTAAGTTGCAAGTTTCTGGTGTTATCAAGGTTTTGTAGATGTGCGTAGTTGAAGAGATGTTTAGGCTTCCTCTTCTTTTTTTCTCTTTTCGTGTTGTTTTTCCTTGAGTTGTTCAGGGGCAAGTCTTTTTTAAGATCACGCATTTGTTTATGTCTCTCATGTTTGAGTTTTGGATAATATTAGTTGTTTTAGTGCTATTTTTTGTATATTTTTATAGTGCTTATTATTTTTTAATAAAGTATCTATGCAAAAATATATATATATTAAGTAGGAATTGAATAAAAATATCAATTAGAAAAAGAGAAATTGAAATGGGTTGATCAAGTCATGAGAGAAGAAAAAAGAAGGCCTAATGCATAAGCCCTAATGTCCATTTGTCTTATTGGAAAATTATTACCAACTGGTGCTTTTGCAATTGAGGCCAATATTTAGCTTAATGAAACTTTGGATAATCCATGCCACACGCGCCACTCTTACCCTTGTTGTGATTAATGAATGAAAAATCTTTTTCGTTCTTCGGTCTTCATCATGTCCTCTGACTTTTCCGTCAATATACAATGAGTTCACAAGAAATCCTGGCAATTTGGTCCAAGTTGGGGAATGGGATTCATTTTCTAACCCGAACTTCGACTTGAAGATCGAGAGACGAGTCAATGGCCTATTATTAGCAACACCAAAATTATTCTCAAAGTCCAGTAAGTGTAGGATTTTATCACAAAATCTCAATAATATTAATAATAAAACTATTCATTATATATTTTATTTTATTTAGTCAAATTTTCGATGTAAATTTGTATTCTTCAACAACCTTCACTTAGATTTTGAAATAGTGGTTTACCCAATTCAGGCCTCCTCCTAGTATATATACAAGGCTTTGGTTCTTAGCTGCCTAGTTAATTAGAACTCACGCGCCCCCCTCTGATATTGCACCCAAAAAAAATAAGTTGACACCTTGCACTTCCGATCCATCTCAAGTTACATGCTGTTGGTTAATTTTTCATCGATAAGTGGTCAGACTCATCTTTGACAGAAGAGGTCAATTACATTATTTTCTTAACTATAGATTAATTCAATATCAAAGACATAACTATATACATACTCAAGCACGTTTCTTTATTATATATCCTGATTAATTAGTCTTTCGTTTTCCAGGAAAATACGTAAGGTCAAGCAAAGAAAATAAACTGCTCACGATATTCTTCTCTACTTGATTTTGATTTTGAATTTTGGTGTTTTGAGGGTTTTTCAAGAATTAATAATCATTATCTTCGATCATAAGTGAGCAGTGACCATCAGATCTAGAGTATTTGGAGAGCGCGAATGCTTGGGGTTGTGAGCGGAAGCAGCATGGCACAGATGGCGACGGCGTCAGTGTCGATGGGTAAGGCGGAGACGTCGGTGTAGTGAGACATAGAGAACTTCCAGATCCCCAAGGTCTGCAACACCCATGCCATCACCCAGAACATTAGTTCTGCACTCGTTAAGATGAAGAAGAAGGGAGTGCTAGAGACGAAGAGTCTAGGGATGCTAGGGTTTTTTGTTTTTTATTTCAATTTTGTTTTTTTGTTTTTAATAATTATTTTAAAAAGAAAGGAATAAAAATAAAATCCAGAATTTCATTAATTGACATGGCATTACCACATCAGCCACCACATAAGGTGGTCAGTTAATGTGGTTAATTTTGTGTGTCTAAATAGCATTACTATATATACAGAGACTTTATATTAAGGGATCCCTCAAATAATCTTATTTAAAGGACACCCCCTTATTCTGCATTGTATTTCGCTAATTCAAACCATCTATTTTTTAGATCATATCTACAAAAAAAACTTGAATTCGATATCATTTGACTGCTCAATTGAATTAATGATATTTTTGTACTTTCTTCAAGCACCGTGTTCATTGATTTTGTAGGACACAATTGGATGTCAAAACGGTTTCCAATTTGTCTAATTTTTTTGTACGGATGATCTATAAATGTAGACTTAAAAAATAGATAGTTTGGATCATTGCAGAAAAATTCGTAGGGCTAAATTTGAGGGATCCCTTATTTGAGGGACACATTTCTAGGTCTCACTCCGTATTGTATTTCATTAATTCAAACCGTCTATTTTGTAGATACTCATTCAAAGATCATCTCTACAATAAATCACTTGAATCCGATATCATTTGACCACTCGATTGAATTATTGAAATTTTAGTACTTTCTTAAAGCACCGTGTTCATTGATTTTGTAGGACACAATTGGATATCGAAATGGTTTTCGATTTGTCTAATTTTTAGCAAGTATGATCTATGAATGTAGACCTAAAAAATCGATGGTTTGGATCGTTGAAAAAAAATTCGTACAGGACCCTTAAGGGTATCCCTCAAATAATTTTTTTTTAGAGATCCCTCAATAGAAGAGTACTATGACAACTGTTTGTACAAATTAGCTAGAATAGTAATGTTGGATTCAAATTCAAAGTCAAGACGTTTTTTTACTCCGTCGCCCATCTTTCCCCACAAACACTTCACTGAAGAAATTTCTTATTTCATTCTTCTTTTTTCAAAGCGCGGGTTCTCACTAGAGCTCGAGGGACCATGACTTGCAGTTTACGTTTATGGATGACTACTATTAGTATTGCTATATATATGTAGCCACGGGAGAGAGGTAGATGTAGGGCAATATTAATATAGAAACTAGAAAGTTGCCGCGTCGGCCCATCTTTGAAGTTGAAGAAATAGTTGAGATATGGGACTGATCTCAAGCTTTTTCATCCGTCTTCTGACGCTGCTCATATTGATCGTCTCTTCATTCTTGGTCATGCAATCACCTCATTATGTTCACGCAGGTATTTTACTATTACTTCTTCATTCTAATTAACATGATTTAGAATAATGCTAGCTTGTGCATGTAACATATGAGTTGATTATTTATTGACAATGACACAGTGACACGGTCTTGTGAGTTGATTATCCATTTTCATTTCTCAGAGCAGCTTACTAATTAATTAAGAGTTTTCAATCATGACGGTCTTGTTAATTAATTATCTCTTCATAAGAACATGATTTGATTGATGTTATTGAGTTTGAGCTTATTGGTTGCTGCAGATCCAAACCCGAGAATATTAAGGAGAATTCGAAGCCCACCCCCTGCTCCGATTTCAGCCGCAGGACCACATCAACATGGCTAATTTGAGACATCCATCTTAATGATCTTTGATTCCTATACAATGTATATATAATTCGGTTCTATCATCTCATGTAATTTGGACCTTGAAGCCATATTATTTGTAGGAATATTTTTCAAAGTTACAGTAAAATTTCTAGTTAATTTGCAAATTGATGTAAGCTTACTACAATGTGAATTAAATTTATACTGCAATTCGTAAAGTTATTGATCATTATATATTATATTCTAAATCATCTTGGACTTCCAATATTATTTTGTTTACAACACATCAGCAGAAAACTCCTCAAAAAGTCCTTTTGTTTACACCACATGAGCATAAATTTCTCGTGATGATCATAACTTTAGATAGGCGTAAAGAAACTTTGATGCAATAAGAGTA